GAAAGCACAACAGAAAATGTGTTCATTAAAAAAAATAGCTATACCTATATATACATATACTTTCACTTTCGATTCGAACAAAACTCGTTACGTTCAGGTAGACAGACACACACTAGAGTTGTTTTTTAAAGTAACTCTTAAAGTCACACGACAAGATATTGTGGTAGAGTACAGTAAAAACGACGAACCTAAGACAGAATTGAAATACTCGGTACTGTTGTGACGGTTGCCGTCTCGCTCGTGTTGGCGCATGCGCAAAACAAGTGCGTCAAGAGGGAAAGTGAAAGTCGAAGGCTCGTGGTAGAGAAGTCGCTGTGGAAAACAAGATCCTCCTTTTGCAAAATCCATATAACGCCCGGCTCTGAAAGTGAAAGGAAAACACTTGAGAATAATTCCAGCAAAACAAGAAGTAGAATTTGTCCAAATTTGAGCCACGACTCGTATGCGAAGTGACCAATTCTAAGTCGACTTTATAAGAGCACTTTGCTTCTTTACATTCGCTCATATTATGTTACTGTACAACAGCGCCATTTTATTTCTTAAAACCACGACCCACGGGGGTGGCAGCTGAAGATTAATGGCATTTGAGGTTGTTTTAGCCAAAAACGTTTAATTGGCTTCCAAATTCGGTCACAGAATACAATGAAATCGAGCGTGAAGCCTCTGCTGTATACTATTGAGGCTCTTGTCTAAATGTACTCCTAAATGCACTTGGTGTAAAATGTGGGCCGGTTCAGTTAAACGCAGACATTTTTCTTACGTAGGAATGGCAAAGGGTGGATTTTCATGCTTTCCTCTGCCATCTAGTGGAAGAGCATTTATTGTTTTATTCTGGTCGGTCCTTCACTGCTGGCATGGATAACTAATCAAAAACACAACTCACTCGGTGAAAATTGGATTTGCTTTTATTCGCTATTGCTAATGTTTTGACCATTTTTTAATGTATTTAAATTGAATACATTAAAGCAATACGCCACATTGAACTCCCCCTCAACAACTCCCTCAATTCCAGCGTTTTACTGGATTTTGACTAATCTAGCAAGGCCCACAGAATATTTGGTTCTAATGCTATATAAACATGGAGCCAACCAAAATAAAGTTTGGACTCTCTTTTTTCAGCAGAAAAAATGGTTTCTATCTTTTTCCATTCTTCAGCAATCGGCATTACAAAATGGCTACATTTCATGAAAATGTCAATTCCTGGGCAAAAAAACGGAGAAAAAAGCTTTTTGTAAAAGCATGCATTTTAAGCACGTGAGGCACTACTGCCACCTACTGGTCGTTTTTTAATATGATTTACAATGCAAACGGCTTATTTTCATTCACAGATTGCATCAGACCCTCCTCCTCTCTATGACGCAAAAAAAAAAAAGATTTAAGACTACAAGTACATCCTTGGTAGGCGGCGCCTAATTTTAAAAATATGCACAAGTAAGCCTTGTGGAATGAAAGAGTTAACTGCATTTTCCCGGAGACCTTTCGCAGCACTTTTTACTTTGGCAAGAGTTGAACACCCTTAGTGTGGGTAGACAGTTGAGTGAGAGGGGGAAAAAGTGTAGCCACGGGTGGGCACAGTAATGGTGATATCATTCCCTTTATTGTTAGTGTCGACTGTATATCAGCATTTGTGAAGTCGGATCAATTCAGCTCACGTTCAAGTTGTGGTAGGGGTTGTAGCGGAAATCAGGGTGGACGTGAACTGAAGCCGCGGACGCAGTCATGTGGCTGTGCCTGGGAAAGTCGAGCACTCCCACTACTATCTCCACCTGGTCAATAAGGAGGGCAAGAGAAATGGCGCTATTGTACTTCACGGTGAAGGGCGTGCCACTGACACCGTCGCACATGAGATCCGAAAGTTTAGGGTGTCGGGCACAGAACATGCTGTTTGGCAGTGGTGGCACGTCTCCGTGTAACCTGAGGATGAGTTTGTCGCGGAACATGTGGCACGTGTTGTCGTCAAGCACGGTCCAGTTTATGTCCAACTGATCTTGTGGATCGGACATTGATAGATACACGAATAAGCCTTGGTTCAGAACTTTTCTGGAAAAAAAAAGAGGAAAACCCACAAATCCCCAAATTAGTCCGCGTAACCTGAGGATGAGTTCGTTGCGTAACATCTGGCACGTGTAGTCGTCAAGCACGGTCCAGTTTATGTCCAACCGATCTTGTGGATCGGACAGATGTAGATACACTAATAAGCCTGGGCTCAGAACTTTTCTGGAAAAAAAAAAAAAAGAGGAAAACCCACAAATCCCCAAATTATTGAAGATCATTTATCTTGGTCTCATTTTTCTATCCCATAAATCTCACATTTGAACGAGGGGTGTGTAAACTTTTCATATGCACTGCTTCTCTTTTACATAACATACAGTACCTGTCCAAGGTTTGGAAAAAACGTGAAATTTAAGGTGTTTTTTTTTCCCCCCTACATGATAAATTAAAACTGAAGTCAAGACAATGCGGCAACACGTAAGGAATCATTTATTCCGGTTAAGAATCTTATTCAAACCAAAATATGTTTTCGATTTTAGCTGTGCACTTTTGAGAGTTGCTAGCATGAATTTCTTCACCTCTTCATTTGTTTGAGACCATTTCAATTGGAAGGTGTTTCCAGACTTTTGACTGGTACCGTAAATCTGGAATTAGAACAGGGGCATGTATACTTTTTATTTTCGTTGTGTATGGTCATTTTTTTTAAATGACATCAATCTGATGTTTGAATAGGGGTGTGCAGACCTTTTATGAACACGGTTCTTGTACGATAGGAAAGCCCCCTCCCTCCCAAAAAAAAGTGACCACACACACTAGTGGTTAAAATGAGCAAATATTTACCCCACTGTGCCATTGTTGTGTAGGGTTTCAACGGTCGGCAAGCAGAGAGGCCTGACGATTTCATTGAAGGTGAGCGGTTCTCTCAGTTTGATCAAGGCGATGTCGTTGTCCACATTCAAGTTGTGGTAACGGTTGTAGCGGAAATCAGGGTGGACGTGAACTGAAGCCGCGGACGCAGTCATGAAGCTGTGCCTGGGAACGTTGAGCACTCCCACTACTATCTGCACCTGGTCAATAAGGAGGGCAAGAGAAATGGCGCTTCAATTTGAGCAGTTTCACCACTTTTGGATCAAAGTAAAGTACAAGCGCGGTTGGCAGATGTCTCAAAGAGAGTCTACCGAGCGACTGACTATATGTGATGTGTTCAAGCCAAGGTTGTTACCGTTTCGGAAAAAAAAAAGGCCGGAAATGGACCGGCCATTTGGGAAACTCCTGAATTTCCCGATAGCAATCATTTTCAAAGCTTCATTGTGTATTGAGAAACAAATCTCTGAATTCACCCGTGTGCTCTTCACGCCCTAACAAAGACCCACATTGATAAAACAGCTGGAAATGCCTGGCTTGTGCTCGACTCTCTTCCCAAACCCTTTAAATTGGTTCTATACACCAGGGGTGTTTACACGGAAACATTTGCTCCGGTGCTGCCCCAGTAGAGCGTTCACACGTGCAAAGTGACAACGGTGTAGCCCTGAAAACAGCTTAGACCGGAGCAAATTTAACCCTGCTCAGGGAGGTGGTTTAAAAATTTGCTCCGGAGCAAATGCTCGTTTGCAGGGCAGCACTGATGTAAAATGGTACGTGTGAACACTACAAGGTTAAAAATTTGCTCCGGAGCAAATGCTCGTTTGCAGGGCAGCACTGATGTAAAATGGTACGTGTGAACACTACAAGGTTAAAAATTTGCTCCGGAGCAAATGCTCGTTTGCAAGGGGGGAGTAGCCTCGCTACGCATGAGAAGAGTTGATTACGTACGGCTAGAATGCGTATAGTTGCTTGAGTTGTGTATGTTTTAAAAAGAACTGACACGACCGCTCTTTGTTTTCTATCGTTCTGCACCGCTGCGGAAACTGCCGTGTGAACGCAAGTGGGGCTGCACCGGGGTTAACACGCTCAGCGGCTTTGTACGTGTGAACACTCCACAAAATTTGCTCCGGTATAAAATATATCGCAACAAAATACATCGGTGCAGCACCGGAGCAAACGTGTGCCGTGTGAACACCCCTACGCTTAAAACTGCCGGGTGAGAAGGAAGCCAAATTGGGTGAAATAGCTAACCCAGTGCTGGGTCCAAAAGGGCCCGAGCCAATGCTGGGTTATTTGTACCCAAGGCATTGGGTTAAGGATGTCGCCCGGCACAAAAGACGACCAGCTTCACCCTTCAGACTGCCCAAATCCCATCTTCAACCCAACCTTGGGTCAGTTATCAAAGATAAACACAAAGGCTTCGAAAAAGATTCAAATTCACTGACTCTACATTTTCTTCACAAAACGAGCTAAAAAAAAAGCTAAAGCTTACACTAAAACTAAGAAAACAAGGCATTGGGTTAAGGATGTCGCCCGGCACAAAAGACGACCAGCTTCACCCTTCAGACTGCCCAAATCCCATCTTCAACCCAACCTTGGGTCAGTTATCCCAAGTCCTCAGCCCACCACTGGTGTGCATCCCCCACTTTACCTCATCTGGCTTTCCTCTAAATTCAGTGGCTACGTGCGCTGCAGTCAAGAGCCAGCGGTCGCCAATGACTGTGGCACTCGCTGTTAAGCTTTCAAATGCCAGGAACGCTTGCCACGGGAAGCCGCCTTTGAGAGTCACGTTGTCTTCATTTGGAACGTGAGTATCCAGCTGCCCACAGACTAGAAAAAGAAAAAAAAAAAGAATAAAAACAAAATGGGGGGGGGGCAGTAGAACAATGACATCATGTCATATTCGAAATGAGAAGTGGCACATGGAACCTTGCGGCCATCCATGAGGTGTTCAATAAACGTCAGGAAATTGTACTGTATATCCCGACATATTTTTCTTTCAAATTTTAGGAAATGAATGGCAATCTTCTGTGATTTTTTTCCCCCCACAATACAAATACAAAAATATAGACCCTACAATTACAGTACCAGTCGAAAGTTTGGAAACTGCTCCAAATTCAATGTTTGTCTTTGTTTCCTACACTGTAAAAACTGAAAGTTATCCAGACGACGCAGCAACTCCAAAGGAATAATGAACTCAAATTAACGATGTTCTTGAACCCCAAATGTGTTTTCGATTCTTCCAAGCAGGCACTTTTGGCCAAGATGATAGATTTGCACATCTTGGTATTTCCTTCGTCAGCTGGATGACGTGGACGCTGCGTTACAACCTGGAAAGACTTTCAGTTGACAGCAGTGCATTTTGGAGAATTGATAGCATGAAGTTCTTGACCTCTCCATTTGTTTTGAGACCGGTTGAATTTGAAGGTGTGCCTAAACTTCTGACTGGTACTGTAATTAACACAAATAAAACGCAACTATCCAATGGCCAAATAAATATTCAGAATATACAGTACAACCCTTTACGGCAGGGGTCCCCAACC